ACAACAGCATACAAGACATGGTGGGTGGAATGACCCTCAGTCAACCAGCAAGAGGGAAGGACCCACCAAAGAACAACCCAACAACCATCAAAACCCAATTACATCCAGAGAGCCAACATAAACGGCATGAAGGGCATCCCAGGAGCATCAATTTTAAGAGATCAAAGAGACTGCACCACTGAATCTCACAGGTCTCCTAACATAGAAGTTCACACCACAAACTCAGGGAGTCAGGACAGATCAATTTAGTGAGCAAAAGCAAACAAGAAGAGTCTCACAAACAATGTGATGACAAAGAAACAAACCCCAATTGAAAGAAAAGGAGGAGTCCTCAGAAAGAGTGCTAAATGAAATAGATGCAAGCAAACTATTAAATATTGAGTTCAAAACAATGGTTATAAGGAAGCTCAATGAGCTGGGTGAGAATTATCAAAAGCTACAGGGAAGCTGTGAGGAACTTCCTGAAAACTATATCAGCATGAAAAAGGACATGGAAACTATCAGCAAGAGCCAAGAGGAAATGAAAAACATGAGAATGCATTTTCCAATACAGGAATTTATGTTTCTCAATCTAGGGAGGTAACTTGTAAAATTTGCCAAAAGTCTTGTGAAAGTTGGTTAAAGTTTCAAATTTGTGAAGAAAGAAACCTCAGGGTCCAGGACATCTTCCTCCATCTAATTTCTCTCTTGTGACATTCTTTGACTCTGGTGGAACTCGGAGTTATTTTTACTACTGCAACTCCCAGTCCTATATCTGGAGCAATTACCTCCTGTTACAAGGTTTCTGACATTTCAGGGGACATAGCAGCCCCATCTAGGCTCTTTCCTGTTGCCCAGTTCCTTGCACTGAGATATTATTTCCACTACTCATTAACAGTCCTTACAGCTTTTATTCAGAGTCTCAACAGATCTTCTTGCTTGGTATTTAGGACCTTGGATCCTATTTTCCAGTCTTCTTAAAAGATGTCAAAAGCAAACATGAAAAATCTTATGCTTTCTCTACAAATAATAGTAATTCAAATTATGTTTATGGTCTTTATGTGTTCATTCTTCATATGTATGACCTGTATATGCTATGTATTTGTCTGTGTATTACATGTGGTACATTTTTCTGCCTCCAGAGGGCATAACTAGGGTGTAATATTTTATTGGCCTAAAGAAATTAAATAGTAGTATAAATTAAGCAGGATCCACTGGTTTGGACAAATTATTTGACATCAAAACTGGTTTTAGCCCTGGATGATATAACTCAGTGGATTGAGTGTGGGCTGCGAACCAAAGGGTTGTCAGTTCGATTCCTAATCAGGGTATATCCCTGGGTTGCAGGCCAGGTCCCCAGTGGGGGCCACGTGAGAGGCAGTCACACATTGATGTTCCTATCCCTCTCTTTCTTCCTCCCTTCCCCTCTCTCTAAAAAGAAAGAAAATTAAAAAAAAAGAACAAAAACCCTGGTTTTAAATTTGATTAATGTTTTCTTAAAGTTATTATCAAATACACATATTTGTTTTACAACAAGATTTTGTTATAATCTTTTAGTTAAATATATTTTACAACCTTCCCAACTGAGAAATGACTTTGAGTTATTCCAATGACTCCTAGAACACCTTAAAGATTTATTCTTTCTCCTTATAAAAGAGAAGTTTTTGAGCAATTAGGTCTATTTATTTATTTATTTGGTTTTTAAAAGATTTTATTTATTTTTTTCCTCTTCTGTGTCCCCAACTGAGGTCTTGGCCTGCCACCCAGGCATGTGCCCTGATTGGGAATCGAACCAGTGACCCTTTGGTTCACAGGCCAGGGCTCAGTCCACTGAGCCACACCAGCCAGGGCCAAATTAGGCCTATTTAATATGCTCAAAATTACATGGGAAACTTTGTCAAACAGAATAATAATAACTATGTTCTATTCATATGTGTATATTTCTATCAAAATAGATGTTCTGGAAATTTCAACCTGTTCTAGGAAGAAACTTGCGAAAAGTTAAAGCCAAGTTCAAACAGGAAACTCTCACGGCTAACAGGTATCCTGTCTGTGACACTGGACAAGCCAAGGGTGATGGTTCCTATGGGGACATAATGCAGTGGTACTCTGCTTTATGTGAGTATTTGTAACCCATACATTGGGAATTTATTAATAACTTCCAATGCTCAATGCCCACATCTGATAAGTCTTGTATAGCATTTTAAAATCTTGCATTCTATTTGGTCTTTATATATTTTGAAATTGTATGTTGAATGTAAAAATATGGGCTTTATTTAATTATTTTATGTCATTTCATAGTAATTATTACTTACCAAGAAATTGTTATCTTGGAAATGTTGTATCTTACAAACAAGCAAAATTCAACTGATAAGTTGCATTATAATAAAATCTATAACTGTGTCATTTATAAACAGCCATTGTTTAATGCATTTGAAAATGTATCTTTGGAAAGGTTCATGAAAAGAACTCTGACTTATTTTAAATTACAGGCATCTTAGCAAGTCATATATGATGTAAGTGACAATTTATGGAACCCTAAGGAATAACTGGATTCATGGAAATGCAGGCAAATAAGACAAAAATATTGACTCAAAATATTGCTAATTTTAAGTCTTTTTGTCTTCCAAATATAAGGAAACTTCTTTTCTCCTAGAACAATTTAATAAGTTATGCCTTCGTAAGCAATATTGGAACATTTATATTTTTCTCCCTGTCTAATCTTTCCAGAATTCACCAACTCTTAATGAATGAGTATTATTTTCATGGCAATATGTTTGCATAAATCCAATAAGAATCTATTCTGTTTACAATGGCACCAGTTTCCAAATGTGGTTTTATGAACAAGTCTTTGTTTGGAATGCCATGATCAAAGAGTCAGGCCTGGACTCTGGATGTCACCAGAAAGCCTTAAAAAATTAAGATTGATTTCAAAGCCAATAAGAGCCCCTTGGAGAAATGGCCTGATACCTTGCTTGGTTCATGGCAGTCTTTCCAGGTTTAGGAATGAAGGTTGCTTTCCTGAAAGATAGTGAGGAAGGAACCTCAAGACATTTTGGTGTCCTCAAGAACTTGAGGAATCCACCCAAACTTATAAGTACTTCAGACACAGCCAGATGGCAACTGTGTGGCTTGGCTTTGCCCTGAATGACTGACTAAAGCTCATTCTGAAGTTTCCTTGTAAAATTCCAGCAAAGTGGATTTGAAAGAACCTATATGATCAATTACTATCCTTCTGGTGTTCATACAAATAATCAGGGCATATCAAAACTGGACTTAATGCATCATTCTCTGTGATAAAATGAGGGTGATTTCAGGGAGAAAAATTGTGTTTCAGTGGAAATCACAATGTTCAATTTTCACCCACAGACTGAATTAAAGTTTAACTTTTCCAGTTTTCTTCCAAATTATTATTTCATTTTTTTCTTTCATCCCTTGACTTGGAATTATTGAGAGCTACTGAGGTAGTGTCAGCCATACGGAATTTACCTACCATTCTGCCTCTCCCTTTTTGGGATTTTAAGGCCAATATCTGGTCCTGGTTTTCTTGACTGACTCCTTTCCTAGGTCCTCTAGCAGCTCTTTATTGTCACTTTTGGGCCATGTCTCCTGGGATACCTTATGTCTTTCATTCAACAAAGCATCCAAGCTCTAGGAGACTCCTTTTGCAAATGACCACTGGCTACAGCTCTCGCCTTTTGGGCTGTCCAGTTTCACTCTCTCCCTCTTAATGACCCATACCCAGATCCACAGTCAGGGACAGACAACTCTATGTCCATACTCTGCAGGAAGCAGTTCCAGAAGAAGAGACCTTCATCCCTACTCCCCAGGATCAGAACAAGTCCAGGTCATTATGAATAAATCCATCTCAAAACCAGAGGAGGGGAAAATAGGACAAAAGCCACTTCCTAAGGCTCTCTTTCCTGGAGCTGGCTGGACCCCGGAAAGCATGACTGACCCTAATTGTTTTATAAGCCTTTATCCTCAGGACTAGAAGATGCTAGAAGTGCCCAGAAGGCACAGAGGCTGTAGGAATTTATGAAACAGGGAAACAGGATGTACCAGGCCACAACGAGCAGACCAGATGCTGCAGCCCAACGGAAAGATCCTGCTCTACATCCACCCCATTACTGGATAAAAGCTCACAGCTCCTACCCCTGAGTGCTGGTGCCAGTGCATATCTCCAAATCTAGCCCTTTCCCTCTCTCGAGAAAGTAAAATAAAAACTTTTACTCTCTACACTTTCTTCCCTTTGTCAATTCTTTCACAGCCTGTGTCACTGAACACCCTAACATTGACCATAGTCTCTTGGTTCTTAACCCAGAGCTTGTTCCACTAAGCCATGCCACACTGCCATTCCTCGCTACTTAGTTTGAGTATGTAATTGTCAACCCTTGTACTACTGAAAATAAATCTAAGACATTAATTTAGGTATGAGGAAGATTAGAATTGGAATTGTTTATGGATAAACAGAAGGGCCAAAATATTGGCCTCAAGGTAAAGAGAAGTACTTTGGGGTCCAGATTAACCTCCAGTGGTGGGGCCCCCAGTAATTCTGTAAATTATGCTTCGGAAACGTAGGTTAGGACACATTCTATAGCTAGCAGAAACTGAAAATGAAACTTGTCTGTAAGTTTCGAAGCCCTAAATGACCTTTCCCTTTGCTTGAACTTGCGCGTGCTAAAGGTTGAAGAGTCCCAAGTTTGACCACAAAGAACCCTAAGAATTTGAAGGACAGGGAAAACAGGCAGATGCAACTTCAGGTGTGCCAAGAAAGGTGGAGGAGCTTGGGAAACGGAGAACAATAAAGTATTTAGTAACCAATTCAAAGTACTGGGCTGGAATCCTGACTCCTCCTGCCCCTTCCTCCATTTCCCGCCCCCTAGCTGGGTGACAGCCACCGGACTAAAAGAACGGCAACGTAAGCGTTGATTTGAGAGAAAGACCACACCCACAGGAGTGGGGAGTCAGCTCTCGGGAGAAAAATCTTATTGGCATCGAGGAGGCAGAGAGCCAGCCCCTGGGCGCGGCCTGCAAGGGGGCCAGTGATCGCTGAGGAAAGCGGGGGCAGGACCAGGCCAGAGCTGGTGCCCGCTCGGCAGCCACCAGCAGTCTCGGGAGCTCTGGCCGCGCCTCCACCCGGTGCGCCCTTCTTGGCCCGCGGACCCTGCGCTGCGCTCAGTCGCCAATATGTGTGCCGCGGGGATGTCACCCCTGGCGCACATCTTCCGAGGGACGTTCGTCCACTCCACTTGGACCTGCCCCATGGAGGTGCTGAGGGATCACCTCCTCGGTGTGAGCGACAGCGGCAAAGTAAGCAGACGCCGGGTTAGGCGCAGCCCGACGGGCTGACGGACGGGCGGGCGGACAGGTGAAGGGAATCTCGCGCAGTGCCCCCCGCGAGCCCAGAGTTCGCTCGCGTGCGGAGTGCCGCGGCTCCGGAGTTGAACTTGAGTGCTTGCCTGCAGGGGGACGCTGGAAGAATTCTCGCGTTAGGTCCTTGGGTTGGCCTGGGAGTACCTGCTCCCAGAGGCCGGGAGTCCCAGAAGCCGGGAGCCATTGGTTCGACAGCCGTCCAGGCTGTAGTGGGAGAAGGAGCTAGGCTATACCCTCGCAAATCTTGAGAGATCATTAATAGACTAGAACCTTGCGTCACTCAGCTTTGCATATTTGGCGCCGGGCACAGTGCCTGGCACAGGTTAGGCGCTACGTAAAATTATTGTGAAAGGAATAACAGAGAAGGGGGAAATTTGATCAGTGTTATTTAGTCCTTTACAGGCATAGAATAAGCAAAGTATTGATTTCACTCACATGATCATTCAACAGATAATATGCTTACTAATAATGATTCAAACTAAACAGCTCGTAATGCTGGAAAGGATAGTCTAAGAGAAATTATCCACCCTACTCCCCTAACACACACTCATAGCCATTTGCATCAAAGCAAGCAAGCAGCTCCATTTTAAGGTGCAAAATGTCTTCTATGAGTGTGTCTTCTATATCTCCTTTTCCAAAATCACGATTTCTACAAATGACACGGATAACTTAATGTCTAATACTTACTGTTCCATAGTCGTCGGTGGTAACTCTATCAGTAGTTGCCTGGCCAGTGGAAGACATTCGTTTTTAGGGGAGGAAAATAGAGATGGGGATGGGATATTTTTTAGCTTTCCCCCACTAGTATGGTTAGCAAAAGTACAGTTATTGTGACTCATCAGCTGGAAGCTACTATTCCTGAATAAAGATTCTTCAGAGTCAGTGACAGTTTTGAATCATGACTCTTGTATTTGGGGATAACTAAACCCTGGTTTCCTGTTTTCTTGTGGTGCTTAGAAAAATATTCTCTGTGCATATTCAGGGAGTTTGCTATTATGTTTCCAAGATGATCAAACTCTCAGAGCTCCCCCAAATGGGGAGACCCCCTAAACTCCAAGACTGATGAATTATTGCCTGTGTACTTGATGCCCCAAAGTTTGAAGGAACCCTTAGGCTCAAGGCAAGTCCTAAGAAGCAAAGGAACAGAAACTGCTAAACTGGGGAAAGATCAGTGGTGTTTGCCTAACCACAAGGAACTGTTCAACTCAGGATTTTTTTTTTTTTAAGATTTAAGATTTTATTTATTTATTTTTTGACAGAGGGGAAGAAAGGGAGAGAGGGAGAGAAACATCAATGTGTGGTTGCCTCTTGCATGCCCCCTACTGGGGACCTGACCACAACCCAGGAACGTGCCCTGATTGGAAATCAAACCTGTTACACTCGTTTGCAGGCCAGCGTTCAATCCACTGAGCCACCCCAGCTAGGGCTCAGGATTGTTTTTACAAATTAACTTCCCATCTCCAGAATTTTAATTGGTTGGATAGCAGTCAAGGGAGTAAGTTTGAGAACTGGCTTTAACCAGTGGTAAAGAATAAGAAAAGGAAGTAATTTACCTAAAAAAATTACTTTTGTTAGGTGTTGTACAGAAGAAGAATAAAAGAGTATCCCAGATATGCAATTAGTAGTTGAGTCAGAAAGTCTACTCCTAACTGAGGAACATACTGAAGTAATAAATTTAGAAAAATGTCATTCCCCCACAAGATAAAATTAACTAGGAATTGAATACAAAGGTGAGTTAATCAACCGATTTTGATTTATGGTATAAAATGTCCCAGCCACTGAATTGATAACTGTTTACTGCTCTGCTCCCAGATGCAAAGCAGTTGATTTCTAACTTTGTGTAAAGGAAAGACCTGTCACATATAAGTCAAGACTTGATAGCCCTCATTTTGAAAGTGGGAATTCCTTGCCTTTAGAGTTGCTAAGATAAATATCTTATTTACTTAAACATTTTCAAGATTCTAAACAGAAAATTGTATGCTAACGAAATAAATAAGTATGAAGAATCATCATGATCTTTACATTTTTACTGAGCTCTGAAAGCTGTTCTCAAATCTTGAGATGAATTAGAAATAGCTAGGGGTGCTAGTTAAAATGCTGGTTCCAAGGCATCATCCTCAGAGAATCTGAGCCTGTAGGCCTGGAGTGGGCCCCAGGAAGTGGTATTCCAACAAAGATGCCAGGAGATTCCAACATAGATAGTGGGTGGATTACATTTTGGGTAACAACAGTATGTAGGTCGTGTGATGGAACCAGTTGTGTGGGGTCTTGGGAGCTTAGTTCTCTACTTCAAGCTCAGGTCTGGGGTAGCATCTCAGAGAGAGGGGACATAATTTCCTTTGACATTCTCCCTCTCCCTTCTAGACCTCATCCCTTATTTCATATAACTTTATTTATGTCCAGAGAAAGATAATAACTTACTACTTGTAAGCCATTCATTAAAGCTCATTCAAAGTAACGTTAATTAAAATTAATTCTCTAGTCAACATTATAGTATTGGACATTTTGAATTCAGAGTTAGTTTTTCTTGTCTGGGAAGCTCTTTATTTCTCTAACAGTTTTAAATGATAGCCTTGCTGGGTAAAGTAACCTTGGCTGTAGGTCCTTGCTTTTCATCACCTTGAATATTTCACACCACTGGCTTCTGGACTGAAATGTTTCTGTCAAGTAATCAAATGCCAGTCTAATTGGTGCTCCCTTGTATATAACTACCTGCTTTTCTCTTGGAGCTTTTAGGATTCTCTCCTCGTCTTTAAGCCTTGTTGCTTTGATTATGAAGTGTCTCTGTGTGGACCTCTTTGGATCCAAGTCATTTGGGACTCTCTGAGCTTCCTAGACTTGTGTGACTTTTTCCTTCACCACATTAGGGAAGTTTTTGTTCATTATTTCTTCAAATAGGTTCTTGATCCCTTGTCAACTCTCTTTTTCTGGTATTCCCATGAGGTGGATGTTGTTACATTTCATGTTGCCAAAAATGTTTCTTAAGCTTTCCTCATATTCGTAAAATTCTTTTTTCTGCTCTGCCTGGTATTTTCTGCTACTTGTCTTACAAAACACTGACTCTATCCTCTGTTTTATATAACCTACTGTTTATTCCTTTCAGTGTATTATATTGCATTCTTTATTTCTAACTGGTCCTTTTTTATGGTTTCTATGTCTTTTTTCATGCTGTTGAGTATCCTTATAATCATTACTCTAAATTCTCTGATAAATTGCTTGCCTTAATTTCACCTAATTTTTCTGGAGAATTCTCTTGTTCTTTCACTTGGGGTCTGTTTCTTTGTCTTCCCATTTTGGCTGCTGCTTTGTATTTTCTGCCTTAGATGTTAAACTAATCAATCTAATCAAGCTGAGCTGTAATCCATAGTCAGGCTTAAGCACTACTGGGTGAGGCAGGGCAATTCCTGTGGGCAGAGCTATTGCTTCCCCTCATGCTTATGCCACTTGGAGGGGACTGCTCTGCCTGAGAGAGATGGCCTCTGCTGTATGGGAAATGACTCAGCACAGGGATCCTGGGGGCTGATCCTTCAGTTCTCCCCCAAGAGCCACCAGCCCCAAATTCTCCTTGAGCATCTGTAGTCCACTCTGCCCTCCCTCTGCTGGAGTCCAGGGTAAATGGTGGCAAATGAAATTTTGTGCATTGGCTCTTTAAGAGGCTCTGCATGTCCAGCCATCTTTCCCTGGCAGACAGAAACCCTGCTGCTTTTCACAGCTGGATGCTATCTGGGTTTCCTTCTGGCTCTCTTGCTGTAGGCTGGTGAGCCCCACTTGGGGCTTAGACCCCACACTTCTCAGGGCCCCTCCCTGCAGCTGCTGAAATATCCCTCTAGAACTTCAGCTGCCACTCATGGGAGTCCAGCCAGCCCCCTCACGTCTCCTCACACTCTCTACCAGTCATGTTGTTGTGAAGTTGTTTCTTACATCTGTCCATGGCTATAATACTTCTCTCCAGATAGTGTTCAGTTGGTTATTCTTGATGATTTCTCTACAATTTAGTTGTAATTCCAGATTGGTCCTGGGAGGAAGTTAGTGTAGTTTCCACTTACTCCTCCCGCATCTTGAATCTCCCCCAGCATTAGTTTTTCTACTCAGGTGGCATGTGGCCTTTCAAAAGAAAGACCCCACCATGTATAATTAATTTGCAGATAATTAATCTTGAGACACTGTGTGCTCAAATAGTACTAAATTGCTAGATTCTTTCCACATGCCACAGGGTCAGGCTGACTTTAAAGATATATAATGATGCCTTGGGTCTTTCAATACACACTTACATGGAGGGAAGAGGAGGGAAGAGAGTTATTTTGGAGATAATGTGCTGGGGTGGCAGGAGAAAGTTTTGTGGAGAAACAAATTTGGTCTTCACTGTTTATCTTCTCTGAGATCATGGGAGAAATACTTTACCTTTCTGAGCCTCAATTTTCTCATTTGTAGAATCAGGTTTCCTTTTCTAAACATTAAATGAAATAACATATGAAAATGCCTGGCACTTAGTGGGTACTTAACACATACGTGTTCATTCTGTCCCCTTCCTTTGCTCTGCCCCTAGCAAATTCTCTACCTATTGCTCACTGCAGCTATTTTGCATATTTCCATATGGTGGCATCCATGCGGGACAACTGATGGAGAAGGAAGCCACAGGATGGGATGGACCATGTGGGAAAAAGGGTGGTCACCAAACCTCAGCTGTGCAGCCTCACTGCTCATGTCATTGACTGGCTGGGTCAGAAAGATACATCTGAGAAGGAAGTTTTCAGGAGCATTTGCTTCCAGGTTGGATAGCACATTATTTCCAATATCTCTTTCAGTTCTCATGGTGTCATTCTTCCCAATTACAGATGGGGAAGTTGAGACTCAAGAAATCATACATTCAGAGATGGCTGTGTAGCTGGATTTTGAATTCATAGGGGCCAAAGCCCATGTTCTCTTCACTATAGCAG